CCCCCCGTTTCGTAAAAGGCTGCATGTTCGAGACTGAAAAAGAGGTCAGGGCCAGTTTGGTTAGGAAACAATCCAGTCTGTCCTAAACCACAAGAGTGTTATCCTCCATCCCCTCCAGAGTGCTCAGTATTCCTGTGTGAATAGGCACTTTGGCATGCAATAAGCAAAGGATCAGTTAGGAACCCTAAATATCACAGTACAAATCATTATAATATGTACACAGTTTTAAAAGGAAAACCAAGACTGGTAGCGGATAGTCACCGTTATGAAAAAACAACTTTAGCTACTATAGCAGACACACTTTAACACAGTGGGAAATGAGGTCTGTCTTGTTTGGATCACACCTGTAATAATTCCTTTAATTTTTTTTCAAGCCCAGTTTGGGTATTTTTCCTTTTGACTGGACTTCTCTGCCACCCAGAAGCCCACTCTACAGCTTGTACACTGTAAACTAAAGGCAACGGCTCTTCGTCCTTACCTTTTGTGCTTTGATGGGTCCTGCCCGAGGCTGCTTTTGTCTTTGCTCTTTTGGTTCAGGTATTTTGTCAGTTGGCTTCTCCGAAAGCACAGGGCCAACTTCACTGTCGCTACCACTGGAAGCGGGAGCTCCAAACTGAATAGTTTCTATTCCGAGCTCAACTCCACTTTCTTGTCCAGGCTTTGTTCCCTAGGGAAGGTACCAAGAACATGCATTTAAACTTCCAACAAATTCTCAACCAGAAGGTTGTCTCGGAATAGCTTTTTATGTTGGCTTTAATGTAGTTATATAACGAAACATACAAGAGTCAGGGAATGGAAGTTGGGCAAATTGTAATCACAGAGAAACTATGCAATTTGACAAGTGAAGGGACAGATTTGCATTTGAAAGCATCTTGTGTATTTTTCTTCTTTTGTCTGAGCTTCTCAGTCAAGAGAAAAAAATTGGAAAACAGTTGAAAACCCATTACAACTGGATGGAGAATACAGGGCAGGTATCTAACTACTTTCAATTGTTTTGAAGTTGACTAAGTTAATAATTAAAAAGAAGTCAGAAAAAAGATTGAGAGAAGATTTCTCTAATCTGCTGATGATGGTAAGGTCAGTCTATTTACAAATTTACTGTTTTATATTGGGATAGATATCTTGTACAAGCATCTAGAAGTGTATAGGAAAGGTAGATTTGTAATTCTGAGGAAGCATCTCTATTGTCCCGCTTTTGGGACTATGAAAATATGGCTTACAGGTAAAAGACACCTTACAAGTATGATGATTTCAAGGGGATGCATATACCTTGTTGACTGTGAGCTATAGTCAAGTATGCATAGAGCAGCTAAACATATTTGCAAGTGTTTTAACAGAAATTAAGTTTATATTTAAGATTTTTTCTTTAAAAAAAATCAGCTATATTTATACAACTGCTGAATTATTACCAGTAAATCTGAGGCTGTGTAACAAATTCCAGTCAAGTTAATTACAATAGTTTCTTCTGAGTTGAATCTTGAAGCATTTGCTAAACCAGTACTCCATAATCAAGCTAACAAGTTAACAGCTGCAAGTTTATTCTAAACGATGCAGTTTAAATTTTTCTAATGAGGAACACTGTTCTAATAAGAACTTTTGCTGCAACTACTCAGTAAGAAATTAGATCATGTCAGTAGCTAGCACCATCCATATGATTTAGTAAGGACATCTAGCTGAAGAAAAATAATGCAATGAAAGAACTAGATAACTGTGACAAACCCCTTGTTCTTTGAAAAAGAACACTCATCTTAGACCTGATAACATTGCTTACAAGGTATATGTCCATAAAGGGTAACGTACAAGGCCTCTATTGAAAGCTTGCAATTTACCGATGTTTATAATCATGGCATGGTACGTGTACAGGTAATAGCTGAGTAATAATGTAACTATATTCACGTTTATGGCCTTATGGTCTTAAGGTTAAAAGAAGTAACCTTGGGATACTACTACTACTTGGTGATGGCCTACTCTTGCAGCAGGTTTGGGTTACCGCTGCTCCAAATTTAGCCAGTGATGTAATGCAAAGCTCCATAGTCTAATATTGCCCCATCACTGAACACTTAATAAAAAACCATCAAAGGCAACTGCAAACCATCAAACCACTTGGAGGCAAATAAGCAACATAATAAGAGATCATGGACTGCCCTGCCTATGAATAAAGCCTAGAGACTCTCTCAGTATAAGAGTGGAGAGAGGCGCTCTAGATCCATTCACTGAGGAGACATCTTGCAGAATGAGTATATTTTTCATGGAAGATTGACTCCTGGAAACCAGCCAGCTCTACAACAGATGGAATTTTGAGGGAGAAACCTAATTTATTAAATAGGAAAGTGTACATCCCAGTCCAAGTTTTCTGACTTTGTTTTGTATTTCAATCGTTTCTTTTCACCACCGTCTTTCTTCTATTCTTAATTTTCTGTTTCAGTATTAGTACTCTGTAGAGTGTTCTCCACAGTGGCTTAAGGTAAAATTAGTAACTAAGAAACAGTGCTCCTTTGGGAGCTAAGGATCTGGGATTTCTGTGGCTAACTGGCTTCAGAGTATGTCTCACATGGAAGCATTTCAAGGGACCTTGAGAGGCTAGGGTGCACTTGCCGTTAATATGCAAGGGAAGGAGAGGACTGGCAGAGTCTAGAGAAGAGAAGGCTGCTGGTGGAGGGAGCTAAAAACCCAGTTAGTAAACATAACGGCTCCCTCTCTTTGGACGCAGGGGCTACCCAGGTGATTCAGTCCTGGGTGCTGTGAGAACCATCACAATAATCTCATTTAATCTGTCCCACAACCCGTAAGATACAAACTGAACAACTTTCAAATGTTCTTGATTTTTTTTTAAAGTTTTCCTCTTACCTCTGGAGATGTAGCTGACCCAAATGATGTCAGAGGCTTATTCCATGCACTGACTGAAGGGGGCTGCGGTGGACTAATGGGTCCCACTAAAAAACCAGAGAATACAATAGAGTTAAAAAAAAAAAAACCCCCACACAGTTAACCCATTGTTATTTAGATTAAGTACACAACAGAATGGACAATGAAACTACAGTGACTGGACTTCATAGCACGTTTGAGTCCAGATCTCCATTTCGGCTTTTAACAGGAAATTCCTTAAAGTCAACTTCAATTGGCCTAATTAGCATATTTGAAAACACACACAAATTTGACAAAGAAACCCAGCTTGGAAACCAATGGTAGCTGGGAACGGTGAATGTGATGGAGGCAGCAAAGAGGCTACTCAATTAACAGGAAAGCTCCCATTTCCAGGGAATCTGGAAGACTACAGCTCAGCAGTCTTGCGGAACATTTCATAACTGCGTATTTGTGTGCAATATGAGAACTCTCTTTGCATTCCAGGATGTTTGAGATCTCCAGAAACATCTGTCCCCAGCTAAAACTCTCCAATCAGAATGTCTCTCTCCTATCCCTTCCAGGCAAAAAATCCAAAGATACCACTTACATTTCTTGGAGATGTCGTTAACAACAGCTGTGGATGCCACCTTATTTTCCCACAGTTCACTCCCGAGGGCAGGATGGGCCTGGGCATTTTGCAGAGCTTTGCCTGTTGCTGCATATTCTGTGCTGCTCGGTCCTCCTGTTGTCTGGCTCTGAGGCTGAACTGACACCTGTGGCTGGCTTCTTGGCTGGGATGCACTCTGAGGCTGTTGCACCTGCGCTTGGGCCTGCGCTTGGGCCTGCTGTGCTGCTGCTGCCGCTGCCCCCGCCTGCTGCTGCTGGTTTTTTTCCAA